TAAGTGGAGGTCTCAGAATTCTTTCCCAGAGAAAAAAAGAGTGATTGTGTACAAATCTTACCAGCACTGTCTGTCGGCAACTTTGATATTAATATGATGTGTTTTTCCATCCCACTTTCTCTTAGTTTAGGTCGCGTGTTCACTTAAAGTAAAAAAGCAAATTAGAGATATTTTAAAGTGCAAGAATTTTAAATCTCCCCCGAAAAACCCACTAAAGTGAATTATCATCTAACAATGGATTTCAAGTAAAAGGAACAGAGAAAAAAGAAAAGAAGATTAGGAATTTTTTTCTTAACTTTTATTTATAAAATTTTGGCCTTTGTTGGTTGAGAAGGCGCGTTTTAAGATGAAAAATGAAATCCTTTTTTTCCCCTATGTCAACCAATTTATTACAGAAATGTTAAAGATAATCGAGGATACGTGCTCGAAAAAAATTGCTTTCTCTAAATCTCAAACCGTGAAGGGCCAAAAGAATCCATATTTGTCAATATTTGTAACGTAATTTCTGGCCTGTCCTCCTTCTTTCACAAGATCACGACATTTTTTATGGTCGAGTTCCTCGAAATCAGTCGAGTAATTTCTTGAAGTGGGTGTTACTTTAACCTCCTCCCGCTGCTCTACCAGTTCTTCAAATCCGTTCAACTCGGGTTAAGGAAAATTGGAACACAAAACCATGTTTCCCTATCAGCCACGCATCTGTTGCGTGGAGGTTTAACAAAAACAGGGTATACAAGTTATTAACAAACTCTTAGCGGCTTGTAGTGTTCCTGAGTTAATGGCGCCTTCTCCAATTTGTCTATTCTTTTGAGTGAAAAGGCGTCCTTTAAGCGTAAACCATACAATTGAAATACCGGAAACATCGCCCTCAGCCGAAACCGCTCGACTAGCAGACCATTTGTGTTAATGACTTCCCAGAAATCATAAAACGAAAACGAAAGAAGTGCGTGACCGATCTGATCCAATCAAATGACCGGTACAATTTTGAAAATTTAAAAATTGTTGTGGGAGAAATAATAATCAATGACTTTGGAGAATATCATTCATTTAAAAAGCGAAGGGATTAATTTAAGAGCAAAACCAACTTAAGAGAGGATGAATGTTTTAAATAAGAACATGGCGAGCCATTTTGTTAAACTGTACAAAATATATATTATTAATGTGGATATTTTCTTCATCCATGCCTTCAGTTAGTTTTTCATGTTCTCTAAATTGTCCTATAAATGAAAGAGAAACTCTAATATTGTTTTAATTTGCAAGGGTAACCATACAGTAAAATGATGTTAAACCCCGCAGAATCAAACGAATATGGCTGAAGAAAAAATAAATCTCGAATCGGATTTCAACTGGCAAACGTCATAGGACAAATTCACCTTTTATTTTCATGAAACACAAACTTTGCCGTTGCTACAAACAGCTTGCCAATACATTGGACCTTTTAGTCCAAATCTGTTCCACTATTGTCTCATGTTGGCGTCATTTGCAAAGCGCAGTTTGTTAGCGTCGCACGGTCAACTACTTGCACTATTTTTCCACACTGAAATTGCAACCAGTTCTAACATGAATATGCTTTCAGCAACCTAAGAGGAAAGCTTTCGAGATATCAAATGTCTTCTGCATTTTCGTCGCCACAGCGTAAAGTGACAAAGCGTCGCCAAAAAGGTAAAAACTTGCTCAAGGTATTGTTCCCTCGTTAGGAATACTTTTTCTCAAGGCAATTGTGCTATTTCTGCGGGGGTCGTATTAAAAATGACCGCAGCCAAAGACCCGGATGTCGATAAAACTGTCGAAGGAGGCTATAAAATTTTAGTCACGTAGACAAAGCGATGTTTAAGAGTGAAATTTCTCCCATGCTTATAGAAAAAAAAAAACGGAAGTTCTTTCTTTAATAATGTGGCGTACATTTATTTTATACAGAATTGCCTCAGGAAGGTACAACTGTTTTCCTTTTTATTATCATTATATTTTGATATACTTTCTTCTTCTTTACTTTTTTCCGTTTATTTTCTTTATTTTTTTTTTGTTTGCGTGGAAAGTGCGCAATCTTTTCTGGCCTTTTTCAATTTCGAACTAATTTGTTAAGGTGGTGGATAAAACGCTTTATACTAGTTCTCGGAAACCAAGAAATCTTTATCATGTTTGCGTAGGACAGATAATATTATCTTTTTTATTCTTCTCTAAATAGTCTTAGCAGTGTTCCAGAACATCAGGCTTCTCATTTCTGATCAAAATAGGAAAACATATAGAAATTTACTATATGCCATTTTGCCAGTTTATGATATATATGCAATTGTTAATTTCTCTTGTATTTTAAAATCCTTGCAGACACAATTAACATAGGGGTGTTTTTCTTTTTCGCGATGTAGGGTGAGACTGGAGATAAATTACTCATTGGGGCAGGTGTTGCCGACGAAAGTTTACCCGCCAATTTTAACAGCATGAGAACAAACGTCGTTTGCGTGGAAATTATTGCACCGTTTCTACCTTAAATTTGTGGATTGTTTTGTCTCAATAAGACACTTGTATGGGCGATATTAAACCTCTAATGTAGATCGCGTGGTTTTAATCCGGAGTATAAAAATCATGACTCCATTCGGAAATCCTCAACTTGAATGTATGGAGTTGAAATCGCTACATTCAGTCAAACTACAGAGCGATCATGTATTTTGGGGCTACTGCTATCCTCTGCGCGGTCCTTTTGTCTTCAAGTGAGTATCTTTCCTGAATTTCAGCCTTTTTACAATTATTCCATTTCTATTTTTATATTCTTCTTTTTGCACGTAAATATGAATTGAACTTTTTTCTCCCTGGAGACCAAACTATTTTTAAAGCGATGCCATCTGTGATTCAAAGGAAGACATTGGATTTATGTACACCAAAGTACTGTTGAGCTAGTGAGGAGACAAACCGAAGAAAATGGCTTACATTATTAGGCACAAATCTTCGGTTTTCTTCCTGTTTTCACCGATATATAAATTTTAGTTCCTATTTTCTCTTCCGTTTGAAATAATCATTTTCTTTCGCTTGCATGAGGCAGACTAAGCAACTCTTTTCCCTTGAGTCAAATACATTTTGATCTTGCAATCTCTTCATTCCAGAAAATGCAGATACCTTTATCGTGGATTTCATGTCAATAGCATTGTCACGTATATAAACAAACAAGTTGCTTTTGATTCTAAAAACTGTTCAATAACCACCGAACTCGAAATTGTCGACAATCTATAATTGGCCTCTACAAATAGTTTTCAAAATACATGCAAATTGGTTGATAAATCTTTCGTTTACCTAAAAAGCATAAAGTATACACAGCACAATTGATTGAAAAAATGTATACTTGCTATTATTGAAGAAGAAAAACCCAAAACAAGAAAAGGAAAATCATTGATGTCTTCTGAAGTACCAATTTTGTCTTTTTTATGATACGCTATAAAAAACAAGTATGTTAATTTTTTTTATTTTCCTTAAACGAAAAGCCCATGACGCATTCGCAATTGAAAGTCACTTGAATACAAAAAGCTAATAAAATTATTGATAACCAAGATAAAGAAAAATTGCCCGAGGGATAAACATTGAACCAGGTCAATACTTAAAATATATTCTTGCCTTTCCGCTAATAGGATTGCTTGAATAATTCTGTTGGCAGAACTTAGAGCTTAATTTTCCTTTTTAAACAGCGGCTTTCAGTCGGTAGAAAATTGTCAGATATCTGACCAGAATTTGTGCGTATCTAAAAATAATACATGTGCAGTGGGAAAAAATATAAATATTGCATAAATTGTAACTCGTGAACGTGCGTGCGGTTGGGAATCGCTCTATGATAGAGGACCACGTTGGTAATAAACATCTTGAATTCACGAATGGGACCAGTTTGAGAGCTGTGGTCAACGAGTTTGCTTAAAAATCTTGAAAGGTGTCTAATGCGTCTTTCGACCGAGACGAAAGACCACCTCAAACCAGTCACGAAGGTTTTTCTTTTCATTTTTTTTTTTTTTTCATCGTGGAAAACATGTCTGAACGTGTGATTTTATCCACAATCCACACAGACAAAAAAAAATTTCCACAATCGTAAAAGTGATGATAATTGTCACCAGACACAACGGAAATATCCAGAAGTTTTTTTTAACATCTAAGCCAATGGGGCTACGGAGAAATGCTGGTTACATTACATTGCATAATGTATATTCTGATAGAACGTGTAGAATAAACAAGTATTTCTGCAAAATTCACTCAGCCTGGGCATAATTTCAAAATATGCCAGAATCCGTCGAGGAGTGATATCATCTTTGAGTGTTCAGACGCTTAAATTACGATTCAAACAGTCAGCGAATTAGGGAACAATTTTTAAAAAGCTATTAATGTAGTTTTTATTTCTTTGATGCGCTCCTCATTCAACTCCACTTTAAAAAATAGCATTTTACATCATATTTGAATTGTGAACAAATTTGAATTTGTTCAAGTTGTGCTGTTTTAATGAGTTTCTTTTTTCCCCAAAAGTCGTAAGGGGAACCCAAGTTACAAACAGTCGGGGGCGTTATGTTTTTCTCCATATTTCCACTTGCGATTCCCAATAAAGTGCTCCTTTCTAGCTTTAACGATAGTACCGTTGGCACTACATAAGATGAGTGATCATTATTTTCCTACGTTTTAGTTTATCCAGTTTGTTCTGTAAATATTACGGAATGAACATATTAAGTCATAAGTCATGGATTTTATTGTACAACGTACCAATTCATGCAAGTGTTCATTCAAGTAACAAACTCAGCACTAACTTGAACCTCTGCCGATGCCAAACTGAAATCGTTCCCATTACAGAACGTAGAGCACTGATTTCACAGTACACGGTTTGCCATGAATCCTGTGTGCGTGGATACTTCAACTTTACAGACAATTCTATGTTGTAGAATAATTTTTGGGAAAGAGAAATCTATAACACAACAATTGTTGTTTAACTCTTAGGTTTTTCTCGAACTTATGGCATTTCAACCAGGATACAAGTTCATCCGATGAACACAGGCTTTGATCCGGGAGATAACCTTACTTTGACTTGCCTAACAGGGCAAAAAGGCCCCGTTGACGTAATCGACTGGTACAAAGATGGCCAGCTTCTCAACAGCAGTGGGCATTCAAACTCCTCCTGTTGCGCAGAAATATCCTTGATAAACATTACCAAGGAGGATGCAGGGAAGTATGAATGTGAAGTCAGGAAAAATGACGAATATGACAAGGGTGTCTTCCAGCTTCATTTAAACTGTAACTAAATGCAACATGTTCAAAATACTTCAACATTAAAGTAGTAGCTGCTTGTCTAGGCGCGAAGGAAATGGACCAAGAACTGACTCTGAGAAACAAACAAAAAAAAAACCTTTCAATTTATATTTAGGAAAGAAACAAATAAACACTCTCTCTAAAGAGGTTAACCATAAGGATAAGGGTTAAATGAAAAAATTCATTATCCCAGTTTCTACTATCTAATCCATCAGGCACCCATTTCCAAATCAAAAAAATTATTCAAGGGGGTAAGCTTCTCAAAAATGTGATTCTGCGTCGGTAGGGGTAATACAAGATTATTTGGTTTTATCAACTGTAAAATGGCCATCGTTTTCACGGTGACATTTCAAGCCCCTCCTCAGAGCGAATATAGCAATTGTAGGTTATTTCTTGTCCCTATATCAAAATGTTGACCCGGTTATAGGTTATTTGTCTATAAATTTATCCTTTAAATTTATCTTTTAAATCTAATTTTGTTTTTTTCTGTCATACGCGTACGTGTTAAGCTGCCCCCAGAATACTACCGTTGATAAAGCTAGTGGAAATCGAAGAAGGGGATGAGAGACGGATCATATGCCAAGCTGAAGGATGGCCAACACCCTCCATCAAATGGAAACGGGACACAGAAGAAATTTCAGAGAGCGACGATTTCAGTACATGGAAATATCCGAATAAAAACCAAGTGATGTTAAGGATTAAATCAGCTAAAAGTCGTCACCAGGGGGATTACACGTGTGAGGCTATGAATGCATTTGGTAAAGCAAGCGAAACCGTATCGGTCGTTATTGAAGGTAAGTGTGACCGATTGGAGAGCCAGCTGTAGAAGCGATTTCTTGCTTGAATTATTGACCAATTCAGTGACTGGCTGACTGACTGACAGCATGACCCTCTGTCTGACTGACTGACCGACTGACTGACTGACTGACTGACTGACTGACTGACCGACCGACCAAATAACCGACTGACCTACTAACCAACCCACCGACCGACTGACTGGCCGGCTGACAGACCGACCGACCAATCGACTGACTGTCCAACCGACCTAGCGAAGGACGGACCGACCGAAGGACCAACAGACCGACTGACCGGCTGACGGACGGACGGACGGACTGAATGAATGGCTGATTGAGTCCTGAGTGACGTGTTGGAGGACTTACTAACTGAATCACTGAATCTGCGAGTGGTGTCATAGAGTGAATATTTACCGAGCTGCGCAGCTAGCCACCTCCACTTTGGTGAATAGTTGTTACTTATTGATACTCTTTCCATTTTCAAGGAATTTTCACCGTCCAAAAGAGGAACTGCAAGCATATTTCGAAGTACCTATTAAGGCTTTTGCACTCCAAAAATCCTTTTTTTTTCTTTTTCAGAATCAGAACCGCCGCGAGTCGGTCGAAACCCTGAGATCATAGCTCATCCTCGCTACACGATCGCCTCCAAAGGCTCAAATGTCACTTTAAAGTGTGACGTCATGTATGTTCGCTCGTATTTAGCTGATTGGTATTGGCTACTCAACGGCACGGAATTTACACCGGGACGAGAACGGAGTCGTTATAAAGAAGACACATTTCATTTCGACTACAACTTTACGATGGTGCTTCACATTCTAAATGTTTCTGAAAGAGATGAAGGGCTCTACGAATGTCTAGTGTTTGGTTTAGTGGAAACCAAAAGTCCTTTCATGACCTTGACAGTTGATGAAAAAGGTAAGTCTGTCTTTATAATACTTTACATTATACAGCTGACTCCGCGATGGAGCAAGGTAAAGCGAATCCTCTATTTTGATGACAAACACAAGTGGGCAAGAATGGGTCATCTTGCCGCTTTATTCGCAAAAGAGACGCCGGGACGTAATGGTTGGTGCTCCAACTTCGAGGCCTGGGTGGGCAATTTTCTTGTGCACTTGCTTCTCTGCGATGCAATTAGGCCGCGGTTATTCGAAGGCCTTTTATAACGCTATCCACTGGATCAGTCGTTATCCGGTGGATAGCACGGTACGTTTTGTTAACATTTATCCACTGGATAGTTCTTTATCTGTTAGATAACGTTATCCACCCTTTAAATAACTGTGCCTAGGAGGATAGATAGGTACTGGTATAATATAACAGTTCATGCCCTCTTTTCCAGATAACGTTCAAAACATTTCGACCAAATGGGAAACAATGTATGTGGCTCTCAACACCCAGGTACAACTCAAATGCACATCCATGTACCAAGCTTTCATTGAGGTGGGGACGTTTTGGATGTTTCAAGGCGACAAATTGAATCAATCAGATCCACGCTACAAAACATACACGCTCGGGATTGCGGACAGCTCGGAGACCAAACGGAAAAGGGAGGAGATGATCCTGCTCATTAGTAATGTGTCTGAGTCTGATTTTGGTAATTACACTTGTGCATTGAGTACTTCCCTTGGAATATCTACGGAGGAGATTGTCCTTGTGGAAGCAAAACAAGAAATTGGTACAGTAAAAGTCTCATAATTTTGAGAGTGTCGCGCATAGTTGATTAGGTCTCTAGTATGGAAGGCCATTGCGAGTGAGGTGTTCTATATTAACATGCCTTTGCTGTGGAGCGGTTTCGTAGGCTACCCCCTCTCTATCTTACTCCAGAAAACTCGCGCCACTCTGTTAACCAATCAAATCAAAACTAAAACCAATCACAACTTGCTCACTCGCGTTTTCCCGCGCTTTAGACAATTTGCTTGTTTTTAATTTGGGTTTCGATTGGCTCTGAGGTATTTTCCTTTCTTCTGATTGGAATAAAATCAATCGAAAAGTGCTCTCATGTTGATAAGATAATATCTCATATAAACTCGTCTTTAATCCTGAAACAGTGACCGGCAAACTAAGCCTTTCGCTATGCCCCTCTTTTTGAACTTAATTAGTTTGAGCTGTGATTTGATATTGAATGCAAAGTTGAACTGCTTGCATTTCGTAGGGTTTTCATCATCGGATGACAGCTCTTCCCCCGTGTGGATCATCCTCTTCCCTGTTGTTGCTGGGGGAATTCTCTTGACTTTGATTACGTTGATTCCTCTTCGCAAGATGATAAAGAAGAGGCAAGAGTGGAAACTGCAAGGTTTGACGTTATATCCTCAATAGTTCATAACTGAAAACTAATCCCTATTGACCACAGGCCAATAAAGGATCCGAAATGGAAATGTCCGATGAAAACTAACATCATAAATCACTAATATTGTGACTGAGGTAACGCCTTATCTGTGCGCCTTCAACGAAAGGGCATTTAGAAATTTATGAATTTAGTTAGTACTGAAAGTAGTACTTTGTAACTTGTCTGATAGAGATCCTGTCTTTGTTAATATGGCTTACTTCATAGGTTTATGTTACTTAAGTAAAATGTCAGCGTTCATTAAAACACCACTTCAAGAGCAAAGTGTATTTAGTAATATAAGAAGTAAGGTTTGTGTTTGAGCAAGTTACCGAGGGGTTTCATGAAAGGGGATTATGTGCACTAATGAAATAGGTGTCCTTGGAAGAGTATTAATTTTCATTCAGCTACTATCAGTAGGCCGCTTCACAAAGCTCGAGTAAGGTACCGGCCCCAGAGTTAGTGAGTCTGAAGGGGGAACGCGTGCGCGAGGAAAGAGCGTGGAAAGAGTGCGCTTGAACTAAAGAATAAAGAAAAAAGAAGCGAATGGCAAAGGAAGTAATTGAGAGTACGAGTAACGAGCGAGGTACGAGTAACGAGCGAGGTACGAGTAACGAGCGAGGTACGAGTAACGAGCGAGGTACGAGTAACGAGCGAGGTACGAGTGTGGAAATGTACCGTGAGAAACAAACAAGGAAAGGAGTAATGAATGACGAAAGGTCAAAGTACAGTTAGGAGCGAAAGAAGAACGAGTTAGAAAAGATTAGAAATCGACACAGGCACAAACAAAGAAAGCCAAGTGAGAAAGAAAGAACGGATGTATAGAGCAGAATGAACAAAACTCTACTAAAAGAAGAGAAAGTCAACGAAGGATAGAGACACGGGTGGAGAAAGAGTCTTAACTCAGCAACTTCCGTGGTACGAGGAATTAGCGAGCAGGGATGAAGAAATACCAGCATACGAAAAAAGACTGACTTTGATCTCAGTATACATTGGACAACAAGGTAAGAGGGAGAGTCAGAACGATCGAGTGAGACCGAAAGGGAAATGCGCGCGATTGGAATGAACAGAAAGATAGGTAACAGTGTGTGGTGAGTGGAAAGGAGAAATAGAGAAGGAGGCTCGAAAGAGCAGACTGAGGGGAAGTGAGGGAAAAAGTGATACGCCAATAGCCGCTTGTGAAATTTTCAATTGTGTCGAAAGGAATCCGTGATAAAATTCCAGAAAACTCGCGCCAATCTCTTAATGAATCAGACGTAAAACTAGAAACAATCACGGCTTGGTCACCCGCGTTTTCCCGCGGTTGAGGCAGTTAAGTTATTTCTCACTTTGAGATCTCTATGGCTTTTAAATATATTCTTTTCTTCCGATTGGTCGTTGTAGTTACTACGGCTGAGTTTAAAGACTCTCAACTGAAAAGCATTCTAAATTATTGTCAACAGCTGTATTTCCAAAGAAATAGTGAGCGCTTAGTTGGCATCAGTGTACCTAGTTTGTGGGGTTTTGTTACCAATGGTTTCTTAATGAGGGTTTGAATACTCAAATGTCTAAAAATAAGTGAAGGGCATCAATGTACCGCGGATCCACAATCTTTCCAAGAATTAGACTGCCGACTACATTTGTTTTACAGGAAAATCTTGTGACGGACAGTTCAAATACGACGTTTTTGTGACATTCAGCAACAAGGACCGTCAGTGGGTGGCGGACAATATAATTCCCCTTCTGGAGGGGAACCAAATTAAATACTGCATCCACAGTAGGGACTTTGAACTGGGGAGGCCTCTAACGGACAACATGGCGGAGAGTGTCTACTCCAGCCGCAATGTACTGGCGGTGATGTCCAAGAACTACTTGGACAGCAAGTTCTGCAAGGGAGAACTCGAAATGGCGCTGTATCGAAGTAAAATTGCTCATGAAGGTTCCCTGTTGGTCGTTAGAATTGACGGGATAAGGAAAAAAAAGTTGCCCAAAGCATTAAGGGAACAGACATTTGTGGATTATCACAGTGATAAGGACCGCGGCAGTTGGGAAAAGAAACTGCTACGATTTCTTGTTGAAACTGAGCAAAATCGATACATCACTAAACTTTGAGGCTAGATTTTACTGTTTCGATACCGCGCAGTCATGAAGTTTTGAAAGTCGTTGATTTCTATAACATTTAGCTACCAAACAACGCACTTTTCACGCAAAATAAACACGCGCTGTAGTTTGTGTCAACATGCGGCACTTAGCAGTTGATTAGAGGAACGGCATAAAACTCAAGAAGATTTTATGTTGATAAAATAGATTTAATAGGTATTCTGGTTCTTAATATAATCAAAACTATAGATTAGTCTTACTTTACAATACAAGAGATACGAAAATACTTGAATTCTTTAACATCAAAGCGAGTACGTCGTAAATTCATGTATTTCAAACAAGCCTTCGCAAATTGATAATTGGTAACCAAGAATAAACTTTCGAACATTTGAAAAAAAAACAATTGTCCCTCTCTTCAAGTTGACGGTGGCACAAGGGCCTGGTTTTGTAATTTTAGGAAAATTACGCTTCGAAACCTCGCCACCAAAACTGATATAAAACAGTTGAGTTAACATTAACATTTCACAAAACGTAGCATTTTAAAAATTTGTTATTTTACAGACATTGATGAAACAACAAAATATCTACGCCTCTCGAAAACACGACATCTCCGCGTGCAAAGATCATTTCACCTATATCTTAACACGCGAAGATAACAACGTCTTCGAGTAATCAAGTTGACCAACATGTTGGTTTTACTTTACAAGTCGGAGCTTTTTTTATCTCCTCTCATTTACCAACAATACTACGGTTGATGGAAAACATTTGTATAATATGAGACCTTGTTTTATTGTTATTTCAGACGATAAACTAGCTTTTCCGAGAGTTAAGTAAACGTGCAGATCTCTGCATTTGGTGCTATCAAAATATTTGAAAGAATCGATCCAAAAATGCTATTTAATAATATGTAATATCAAACAGATAATTATATTTCCACTTGTGGATACGAATTTATCTTCTCGTGTTGATAAAATTCGTATCCATACGCGGCCATCTGATATCCTCCATATAATTTGAACAAATTTACAGTATTAATAAGAAATATTTACAGGAATTAAAAAAAGCTTTGTTGATGTTCAGAACCTCGAAACGTAATTTACTGATTTTCATCATTATTATCATCGGACACGTATGGTCCTGCGCACTCTTAACGAATAACATACGCGATGGTGCGAGTATAAACGGGAAAAGCCGATGATGAAGGAAGCACAAAAGAGGAAGAACGGAAGTCATAGAATAAAATGCTTATCGACTAAGGTAGCTCGAGCCCAACCGAAAATATTGGGCCCTTGGTATGAAGTACAGACCTCGAACCCAATTTTTTCCTGTTTTCCCTGCTACTCTGTCCATAAGTACAAAATATCGTAAATACGTTTTTAAACCGGTATTAATTTCAAAAATAATTTTGCCTGTCTTGTTAAGAAAAGACCCACCGCATCATAGTATTAATTGCTAGTCTAAAGCGGAAAGAGAACAACTCTACAACAAGTTGTCAATGAACCACACTACGTAAGGCGAGAAACTCGCACTATTTCTTCCGTGTACCTCACCACATCGTATCGTATTCCCGCCAGCGCTATCTTGTTCGTGCCCTACCCTGGTAAGGAGGAGGCGACCACATGTCACAAGCAGTGGGTGGGGGTGGGGCTGCTTGTGACTGTTCCGGGTTGGCTATGGTGTGCGGCCTTGCTTGATCATGATCATGATCATGCGTATACCACGAGTGTCCTGCTTGGTTGTATCTTTTGCTGAGCTCGAAGAGATTAAGAATTGACACTTGCTAAACACAGTCAAGGAAAGAAAGCACATGGCACGTTACGAAAGTTTCAAATTATATCAAACAAGAACCATTTATGACCGTTAACTTGGCTACCCGTTTTAAATTGAAGAAGTAGAAATGTTACGGAGGGGCGGTTACATTTCTTCTTTCCGTTCAAGACCGGAAGGCAAGGGTAGAGACCTTTTCATGAACCGATGCCGTGATTGTTGATACCTCGCTCGAGGTTGGGTTTTCCACATGCGTACTCTAGAGGATGTCATGAGAGACTTGGGCTTTGACTTAAAATTATCTAAGAAAGGCGTTTCGGTTGATTTGTCAATTTTCCTCAATTTAAAATGCTAAGAACTGGGAATTGTGAGCATTTTGAGCTTACTAAGGTGGAAGGACCAACGTAAGCTACCCTGTTTTGGTTCGCAACAGCTAATTTGTGAATGCCGTTCATGTCATGTTGCGCTACAGTTTAATGACTGTGTCCCATCTCCTTGATTTGTTGTATGGTATATGTCTTAGTTAACACTTTAACTCCCAGAAGTGATAAACAATTAACTTATCCCTGTAATATCCATACATTATCGAGCAAACAGGTAAGGAGAATACTCATACTTATCGGGTAACAGTTGTTACCTTCAACTAACACCAAATTCTTGTATCCAATTTACAAGGGAATGTATAGCAGCCAGAGGGGAGAATTAACAATTAGACATTGGGAGGTAAAGAGTTAAGGTAACAAGTGATAGAGAAGACAGTGATCTCAGTAAACTCTTTGCTAGAGGATACAGCTTCTGATGGCACAGACGGCAGCTTAAACATAGAAGGCGGTTGCGTAAGTCGGCCCTCAGATGAACCTATGGAAAAATGAAGAAAAATAATGACTGGGTCATATCCCATGTCATCAAAATATGAAAGAAGGAACGAAACACATACGTCCAGAAGTAAGAAATATTAAAAAGAAATATTAACAACCTTTTTTCCAGCTAAAGTTGTAATTTAACAATTAAGTGGAACTAATTTAAGAGTAAAGTGTCTGAGTTTTTATGACTACGGATTCGTGTTTTCAGCACGTAGAGTGTGCAAAGACTTGTCAAAAATTAATTTTCAAGACACCACATCGTGGAAAGTTTAAACCAAGAAGGTAACGAAGTAGTTTTTAAATACTAAACTACAATTATATAATAATAGTTTTCAACAAAAATACCCCAAAGACTTAAATTGAGGGATCCCTAGGAGATTTTGCCACAAGGAGATTTTATCCAAAATTTAAGTGCCTCAAGTACCAACCCTTTTGATCATTAACAATGCTCTTACCTGGTGGGTGAAAATACGAGTGGGCCTTAGGCGAGAACACGTGACCAGTGCGTGTTGGCATAAATACAGCAGGGAGACAGATGTCTAATACAGAAGAAGATCACATCATAACAAGATTGAATTACCTTTTTTAAACAAAGTAACAAATAAAAGCTAACAGGGCAAAATAAAAATGGAAAGGAAAACGAAACAAAGAAAATAACAAACCGGTATCTTCCTTTTCTTCTTCAGCGTGAGACAGTCTGTTTTGTACAGCCATTTGTAGTTCATACCGTTCTTGTATCTACAGGAAAAGAACCGTAAAACAAGACGGCGAGTGCTAGTTAGCGCGGATTAAAAAATACAGTTGTTTCCATATAAAGTCTTAAGTGCACATGTATTTGTACTTAGAGTACTTTTCGATTGAGTGCTATTAGACGAAAACACCCGACGAAGAGAAGGAACACATCATACGGAGCCAAAGAGGACACAGGGTGAGGATGATCATGTCGCGATTGGTGTTGGAGCGCTGTTCAATCAGGAGTGTCGTAAAACCAAAATCAAATCAGTCACAAAGGACCAATCAGATGCAAGGAAATCTCCGAGGGCAGCCAATGAGAACTCGAAGTAAAAAACATGAAACGTTTTTGACGCGTGGGAAAACGTGAGTGACTAGTTGAGAAGGTAGCGCGAGATTTCAGGACCATTCCCATAGCATCAGGGGTGATGAAGGCACTAGACAGGAGCGTCGAAACGTTAGGTCTATGAATTGTAACTTCTCGGTTATATTCATTAAATCTTTAAACCAGAGTGGCATCAAACCATGTCTGATTGTCCACCTGGTTGCCATGTGAACTTTATTATATCTTCAATGCCATCCTTTCGTCACTCAGGTGAATATTTTTATAATACATATTGTGCATGACTTGTACTAATGTAAAAACTCACTGCTCTGCGTGTTTTGTCAGTCAGTTCTTGATGGTATTTGGAACTGTTTTCATTGAATAAATGAAGCCGAACCAGGAACTGAAACAAGGAAGATAGTGCAATGATCAAACACTTGAGTAAAAGAGAAAACTTACAGTTTAACACTAAACATTTAGCTCGCAAGTCACATTTCAGTTTCGTTTACGAAATGAAAAGTTTCAAACTTATTCTAATACAGTAAATATAAACTTATCATGGAGGTTCTATACTGCAATGATTTTTCATATGTACATAAATCTAAGAATTTTAAGAAAACGGGAAGCCTGTGACTATTAGAGGCAACCAAAGTTGGTTTTCTGAAGTTCTACTTCGCATTAGACAGCGATCGGTCATCACCGATGGTACAAAGAAGACCAATGATAACAACAACAACGATGACCAAGACAACTAAAATAACAACAACTGTGGCAATAAAAACGAGGAAGACATTGCCAATTATATTGAATGTTGTTCTATGTAAAGTATTATTTCTATAACCACCACCATCAGTTAGACAACCAGGAGGCCTTGATATAAGTGACAGTCATTCTTCAGAGCTATCAAACAAATAAGCACACAAATTTGAACATCACGTCTAACAAAGGTATTCAACACTTACATCCTCGGGTAAATCTTTACCCCACTCCGGTAAGTTAGGGATGCGGGGTCTTGATTTCCGAGCCTGAGATTGTGGTCTGAAGGATTGAATAAGATTACATTAAAAACTGAAGCGGCCTCGGGAAAAAGTTCGCACACAACAAATGGTGTGCAAAGAATTAACAGCGTGTTCATGAAAGAAAAACCTGGTTCTAAAGAAAGTCATAAATTGTGTCGACGATCCAATAAAACGCTTGATTGAGCATTAACTAATGAATAAGTACGAGTAACTTTTGGGAAAAGCTGAAGTTCCGAACATCATCTACGATCTTAGAAGTTTGTGATGAAAGGAAGAATACCCCTTGCCGATTTTTTAATTTGAATTTGGCTTCGCATAACCCATGTGCATGCATGCACTTGCATGTATAACCCACGTGCATGCACCTCTATATTTCTTCACGATAATCAAATACTAGAACATATAAAATGAAACGATTGACACTGCTAATGTTGAAAAAGCAAACAAACAGACAAACAAACAATCATAAATTAAGGGAAATTTGATTGAGTATCCTAACACCAAATTAAAACCAAAGTAATTACGACAGCCAATCAGAACTGAACCCCCGAAGGAGTGTGGGTGGGTTCCCATTTTGACTATCTGGGGACTGTCTGAAAACAAGGAAAGCCCGTGGATGCAACAAAACACCATCCTTCTACGCGAGTCGTCAACTGTACATTACGATGCCAAGAAGGCGTTAAGGAACCTCACTGCTACCAACCAAGAGCTCAGTCATATTACATTCAAATTTCCAGTCGGAACGGGCCCATATACTTTGTTCCCTTCAATCTCTCACCTTGCTTGTGATGGCGGTCTCGGCGATTTCCCCTGTTCGGGTGATGGCGATCTTACTAGTGAAGGAGATCTAAAAAGGATCGGTGAAGTGGCAGCTACAGAAAACCAAGGAAAGAGATTTGTCTTAGCAAGCGTTACATCTTGATTAGCAAATAAGAACAAACATTACAATTCTAGTCCTTCATTTGGCAATCCTGACATTGAATGAAAGATGTGATAAGATAAGAGGTGTGACTCATACTGGAAACAGTTGCAGAGTCGCGTCCGAGATGCGTTACAGGACCTCAAGTTTATCCAAAGCTTTAAGTCCAATAAAAAAGAATTCCAACTAGGATGATTATAAACTACCCGAAGGTTTTCCGTCGCTTTCTTCCCGATCACGAGGAATTTCGATCGAAATCTTCGTTACCTACCAAAAGCTCTCCGGACCCTTTGTACCCGATCATGAAGTATGCCGGCCGAGAACTTTGTTAAGTATTGTGAGCTTTTGCGAAGGTTTACGCCCAAGTATAATAGGTGCACGCCCACAGAAAGCTTTCGGGTCACCCTTATACCAGTAAATTTAGAATACACCACTTGGTTTGAACGAACAGGAGTTTTAGAAAGGGGAAGAATTCAAATTACCGTCGACAACATTGTGAGTATATTCCATATCAGGTGAATACGGACCCAGTCCTCGGGCAAGCTCGTTTAACCTCTTCCTGTGAAAATAACGTAAAATGACAGACATTGATTAATTATCTAAAAATTGACGAGATTCAATCGGTCAAGATTATTTCGATATACTAAATAAAATTAAACAAAGTAAAAGATAGAATACAAGAGGGAACAAACAGATGGTGTTCTAAGAAGTAAAGTGATATAAAGAGACAAAGGTAAAATTGAATGAATGGCATTTTCCCAACAAAAAAAAACCAGCCTGGAGCTCAAGCAATGAAACCTGAGCGATCAACTCGTATCAGTATTTTATTTTCTACCACTGCAACATTTTTATGAAGAGAAATGTGTACAATAGAATTAAAATACCTGACACACAAAAAAATTGATTAACAATACAGCAACCCAAAATTGACACGCAGAGGAGCAATAGGAACTAATGTGTTGTTCTTTAAGTATTGAAGATGCAGTGAGGATAAGAATAAAGCTTCCGACTGTTGTCTATCATAAGCGAACAACCACGAATTTTGCTACACTCAGGCGTTGTGTGGGTGGGGAGGGGTGCGGGCGGGGTAACGGTATCTTAAGGTGTCCTTTGTGTAGATATGGCCGTTAGAGGAGGTTCACCTGTAACAACAAATTCTAAGGAATATTCAACAAAGAAATGCAGCATGAACAACTGTGGGAATGAACCCACAGATATTGGAAATGAAATAGTTGCAGAGGGCCATGATGGAGTCTCTTGAATTTACCATCCCGTAACCTTAAGCGTGATCCTGTCCGCAGAACAAGAAAAGCGAGTTTCGCTAACTTACCGCCATAGACGACCGCACAGAGTCGCGGGAGTAAGTCGTTTCATTGGACAGGAACAAGTTAATATTTCCCTGATCTCTTTACTTACTCGTACTCCTCTTGGAGTAGCTGTATTTCCTCAGCGTGTTGTTCTTTCAAGGCTGTCATATCCCTCTCCGTGTACACGGCCTCTGGAGTCTGAAAGTGAATAAATTCCTTGAATGTCAACTCGATGCTTCACGTCAAGTGATAGGTCGGACAATCCACTCATTTTTTCGCTAAGGGAGGGTACAAAACTACCCTCGGTGAGGGGGTAAGATTTTTGTAACGAGAGCACATAAGTCCTCGCTTTTGCCAACCCACGATGACAAACAATTTTTGCTCGAAGAAAAAAGGGTAAAAATAAAATTGTAAAAAAAAGTGAAAAGACAGACCCTCAAGTGTTGAAAGGCTATCACGGAAACCGGAAAGGCCACTTTTCTGATGTGGGAACTTACTAGTATTTCCTCAAAAATATCCAGGAAAAATTCGCACCGATCTACTGAATCAATTCAAAATCAAAACAGAATCTGAAAATAGATTGTTGTTTATCTTACTTCTGGAACCTTCTCTTTCAAGATGGCCTCTCCCTCTTCTTCCCTACAAAAAAATAAACACATCAATAAACATAAAAGGAACAAATATCTTAAAGAAAATTCAATCAATCGAAACATACAATTAACTGATTGATCAAAAAAAGGACTCTGGTCGTTCCCTTTACAAATGTTCTTCATGTGAAATAAAGTGAATCGCGAGAGTGTATTTAGCTGTCTCTGTAAATGCTGGTATTGTTCAACTTCGTTCATACAGACAAGAAAACTGCCCAAATATAAGTAAGAAAGTAAATTATGTCTTTATTTAGCTTAAATATATTTTTTAATATTTTTCTTTGAGTTCTCATTGTCTACTGATGACGTTATTTTTTGTTCTGATTCGTACTTGTGATTACTTTGGTTTTGTTTCTTTAGGCATTTAACTGAAAACTGCTCGAATTAAAGCAGTGTGCCTGACCAATACTCACAATTTGCGTGATTCTATCTCTGCATTCACCAAGCTATAAAAATGAAACAATCTACTTATAATAATGCGTGGTACATGGTGTTATTAGTTACTATGTGAATTAAAATACGCTTTACTGTATCCCTTGGTTACCAAATTTCTATCACTAAATCTCAAAGAATTCATTGCCAGTTGTTTTTTCTTTTCTTGGGCAAATATGGATTGATGTCTTTTTTTCTATCGACATTAATTTTTTTGTGAACAAAAACACTTGCAAACAACTAGACGATAATTTCGAGTCACCTCAATTTGCTATTAAAATATCTTTCAATGATTAAAGCTATTTAGCATAGCTCGATCTTTTTTTCAAACTCATTAAACACACAGTAGAGATACAATAAATATCTTAACAGCCTCGAGTTCTCCGGTCCCCGTTACGACAGTTAAGGATCCTCGTTTTCTACACTCGGCGCTACTCTAAGCCAGAAGGAAAAAATCTGGGTCCCTAACTTGCCGTAAAGACTTCGAAGTCAGTTAGAAAGAAGTATGTCAGTTCAGCGTTCTCATACAGGTAGATTATCTTAAATCAAACTTCCAGTCGGTAGTTTTTGCAATGACTGACTCTTCGAAAACCGTCATCTTGTTTTTTGGTTGTTGTTTTTGTTTGCATTGTCGTTGTTGTTGTTGTTGTTGTTGTTGTTGTGGTAAGCGAAAATAATTTTGACTTCTCAATTCAAAATCTAAATGCTGACATGTAGGGGGCAAAAGTGGTTGTATACATGTTCTAGCAGTTCATACTCACTCCTCGAAAGGTATTGTTTCTGTTGACTTTCCAACTTTTGTTAACCGTTCAACTTGAGACTGTAATGAGAGAAATAAAACCAGTAGGTGTCGAAAGGTTAAGTAATGTCATCTAAAGCTCAATAAATAAAGTTGAAATCTACACTGATCGAAAGAAAAGGTCATGAAGCTCACTTTAAAAAAAGCCAAATAGATGAAAAGCTGTTGATGTAACTTTTGTTGATTGTAGGTTACCTAATCCCCATTAGCATTATTATTATTATTATTATTATTATTATCATCATCATTAGAAGAAGAAGAAGAAGAAGAAGAAAAGAAGAAGAAGTAGCGGTAGCAGTAGTAGTAGTAGTAGTAGTAGTAGTAGCAGCAGCAGCAGCAGCAGCAGCAGCAGCAGCAGCAGCAGCAGCAGCAGCAGCAGCAGCAGCAGCAGCAGCAGCAGCAGCAGCAGCAGCAGCAGTAGCAGTAGCAGTAGCAGTAGCAGTAGCAGTAGCAGTAGCAGTAGCAGTAGCAGTAGCAGTAGCAGTAGCAGTAGCAGTAGCAGTAGTAGTAGTAGTAGTAGTAGTAGTAGTAGTAGTAGTAGTAGTAGTAGTAGTAGTAGTAGTAGTACTATTGTTATAATTATCATTATATTTTTTTGGGTGGGGGGAAGGGACGGGATGAGCTTTTGGTAAGTTTCTGATTTGCAGCAATCCGCCTCAAAAGATTTCGGTAATCATTAAGTCAAATTGTCAATTACTAATATGTGATGAGACAAAGCGAAAAGAAAAATGTCTAACGAGCACGGAAATGACGGAACTGACTGTTAGTCTTTCTTACCAAGTAACACAACATAGATATTTGTCCACACGGAGTGTTGAACGGCATATCACGGTCCGATACAACAGAGGTAAGAACCAATTGCTCTGGTTTAACACTGCCGTCTGTGTGCGACCAACGGCCCTCGAACTGCTCCTGTAAACAGGTTCAATAACACCCATTAAGCGAGGACGTTTTAAAAAGATAAATGTCTGACAACGGTTTTCACTCTCTTGCGTTTGGCTGAAGTGAAGCTGGAGCACTCTCTAAATCATTGACTAAGGTAAAAGTACTTCAAAGTCAGTTTCATTGCTCGAGGTTTCAGTTTCCATTTTCATTTAAAATTACGGTACAAGCTGTCTTGAAGGTAGAGAGAGAGAGAGAGTGGTATAGTCTAGTCTCTAAACGCCGTCTGATGATATTTTAATAAAAGCAACCAGCCACGCCTACGATTCAACGTTCACGACGTCAACGCATTTCACCGACATGTGCCCTTTAACTAGATGAGATAACCTACTTATGTCAAAATCCTTCAAATTTGGGTACGATAAAAAGGTTTTCTTCAATCGAAAATTAAGAAAAATTACATCAAATGTAAGTTGTGAACAGAAGAACAAGATTTTGGATTCATTCTACTCTTCGAGTATCTGCTGTACATGAATAATATATCTAGGAAAAAAAACCTTAACAGAAAGGCACATATTGTGTAAATAAACAAAGATTTCCAACATTTTCATCACTAACCAGGATCTTCAAATCTCCATAAGTGGTAGTTGCCATGGCAATCATTGGACGATCCTTTCCGGGATGCACGGCAAATCGAAGCGGCTCCTGAGTGATGTCCTTGACAGGTTCTCCAAGAATACAACCATCATCGTTGGGGAGTTTAAACATCAGTTCCTTAAACTCACTGTTTAAGTAAAAATAAAAACAGTTTTATTGACTCGAAGTTCGTAACGCCTTCATACCGAGACCAGGAATCCAGAAGCACGTTTAGTTCAGAATCATATTCATACCGAGGCTTTTTCTCCTTCTCTGCTGATGCGGGCCGTGAAGCAGGAGGAGACGGGGCCCGACTGTTCGCACCACGTGAAGCGTTCATTTTCCCGCCCTTTTTGTCACTGACTGTCTTTGCTCTGTCCGTCTTAGTTATTTGTGACACTTTCTTTGAATTTGCCTTCGTTGTAGGCGGCGGAGGTACCGGTTCTGCAGGGATTTCTTGGGAAATTTCTTCTTCTTCCTCCTCAAAGATTTCGGTCTTAAGAAGCTGTCCGCTGAATGCTACGCTACAGAATGAAGTCTTAGCTTTCCAGGAGAAAACAAGAAAATCACAAAATTAAACGTCAAACCAGGTGTAAAGGTATTCCGTTGTAGTAAATCTCAACGCAGCAGGGTCGACGTTTGGGAGGTCGACGAGGACACAGTGTTTCAAGAAGACAACCGTAACCACTATTAGCGCGCTCACGCGCAGAGATATTTACATAGAACAGCTAGTTGGCAAGCAGCATAAGTGATACCGCGTGCACGTGCAGCAGAGTTTTCGTATGAGACGCATGTTGCTGTGTACAAGTTAGTATAACTGCGTTACCGTAGATGGTACATGTATTTTTTTGCCGTTTTTTCCCAAAGAGCTGTTTGGTAACCACTTTCGAACACACTGAGCAACGTGCAAAGTCGGTCACAGAAATGTCCTGCAAAAACTAAACTGTGTCTGGTAGATGACCATGTTTTAGGTTGGCCGGTAAAAGCCAACTTTAAGTTGCTAGCGGACCAGAACTGTCATTTTTGATCACAACTTCACAGACTTAGACATGCACAACAAAACGCAACTGATAAAGAACCTAGAGCTTACCTTTCTTACAATCTGGTTTGTATATTCTCAGATGTAGATACCTTAAAGGACAGAAAAGTGAAACATTATAGCTGAGTGACACAATGAAAATCATAACCTACAGATTCTCACCACATATATAAACAATATCCTCTATTTGGCGCGAGAATAAACGCGGATATTTCCGAGATACGAACAGTTTACCGAAAGTGAATCTTGAGGAAAACTGTGAACTTCAAGGGAACGGATAATGTCCAAGGACAAATATACGAGCATATTTTCGCGCAAACTAGAGGGTTTTGTGATTATGATTCTTTAAATATTTTGCAACGTACGTGGAAAAATGTTAAATAACAGCTTACTTTTAATGGTGTGGGATGTTTTCATTTGAGTGTTCTCTGGTGCGGCTTTATGAAAATACAACTATTCCCCTTCTTCTGTAACAACCATAAAACGCTCTCTCACCTTGAATTAAATTTTCAACGGAGACTCCTCGTGATGGACAGTAAGGTTTGAAAACTGGGTAATGTCTCTCAGGTTATAACCTCAAATTTTCCCCAGTTTTAGCTGGGGAATATTCGGCCATGTAATGCGTTTATACCAACCGCGCGCGAGCATACAATTATTTGATGAATCATAACAATGGAGAGAATGCTGGGTTACGCGACACGTTTAGGCCAATCATGCGCGAGCCAAAATATCTCAAAGAACGTCTACGATAGAAGTATTCAAGCGTTTCACATCAAAATAAACTTACTTATCGAACTCAGGTTCATGTGTCCAACATCCTTTGTCCACCTTAACCACAACAGGAACTGACACGGGGGCTTTTGCTTGCTCTTCCTGGATATCTTCGTCCTCGTCTTCATCCTCCTCATCTGATTGGAAAAATCTTACACCAGCATGCTAAAAACAATTAAAACAGATTGTTAGGCATTCTGTTGTACACATTCTTGAAATAGCTTATGTGATCTTTAAAACAAGATAACTAAACTTTAAAGGCGATGCACCAGGGTCCTTGCGTAGAAAAAAACTTTTAGCCTAAATTTTCCGTGTTCTTTACTTGTCATTGGAGTTAAACTCGTTAACCTTTGTCTTTCATCTCTCGTTTTCATCTTATTTCCCTTTCTCTTACAATAAGAGATGGATCAGAGTTTGGTGTGTGTGAAAAGAAAAATGTATGACAGATTTGAGATGTAGTGACTAACCATCCTGAGTCATTACACCACTGTCTGCAGCGATATAACTTTATTTGTTAAAGAACGTTTCTGCCTTGTTTAATTTCCTATGTGGTAACTGCGCAGCAGGACATTCGAAACATGAAGGTCTTATTATTTATACAAAGTTTGGCCGTTAGTTGACAAAACCGCGCCCTAAACAATCTTCAATTTGGCTGAACCTTTTATCTGAACATTTATTTTTGGTAAAAAAAGCTTCAAGAGGGCCGAAAGTTAACAGTGGAAGGAGATTTATTTCATGAAATCAAACCTCTTATAGAGAAAGCCTGTGGCCCATTGATTCCGTAAAACCGTGGTTTGGTTTAGACCTCAAATAAATAAGTGGCCCGAAAAGTCTAAACTTACTTTATATTTTTGCAAGGCAGAATTAACGAAGGGCGGACGACTTTGCAAATTCCATAAAACAGCACAATATCAGTGGATTGCAACTACCGCGGAACAAACCTTAAATGATCGGGTGTCTGCAAACGTAGTCTTTGGTTTAGATTTCGAGGGTGCGTCAGCAAACTTCACCGCGGACTGCTTTCCTTCGTCTTCCTCGGAATCCTCATCGTCAGATGCTCCAAAGAACTTAATACGCGGCCGAACTTTCTTGGACTCTGCAGAATAACGCTTCGAGTTTGTCTCTGAGTTTATTCATTACGTGAAAATGTACACCATTACACTTTAAGTGCAAATATCCCAGCATCCCCCAGAATGCTATTGTTCTCTGAACATTTATTTCCGGTTAGAGAAAGTTTGTTGATAGGTCATATCGCCGCTATAAGGCATAGGCGCTAGGAAAGAGCTTCAATCGTTGACTCATTCACCACAAACAGTGACTAGTATTTAATTTCTCTTTACAGTATCACAGCTAATTCAAACATCTAGGTCACGAGAAAAAAGAAAATGATCGCCAAAGCAAGTAGCTCTTGATTATAACACAAGTAATGCCTACAAAACTTACCAATCTTGGTTTCCACTGATGCTGGTTTCCTGAAACAGGAAAAAGAAAATAAGTATCCTGATGCAAAGTTTATCATTTCCCTCTTAGTGTGGACGCAAAGGTTCACTTACGGATTAGCAGTAGATGTGTCAGGGGTGATGGTGATTCTTGTAGGACTTATGCGGTTCACTCGCCTCTCAGGACTCGGACTTGTAGGTGAAATGGTTTTTAGTTCCGGATCGCTGAGGTTCTCGTCGTCTGAAATGACATCATTGTCTCTACCCAAAGCTGTATGAGGCTACGACAAGAAACGAGAGTTGATTAGAAAATCTCCGTCAAGCTAATAAACATTTTCATGTTCACTAACTCACAAAATTTTTTAGTTACAACAGGATAACAGCCTCTGAACTAAATGTTTTTCTATTATCATATAGAGCAATATTCGAAGGTGTCAAAATAAATCCGGGATTGCTTTGGTTTTGCTTTACGTCTCTCTGGGATTGGTCAGAAATTCGCGCCAGTTTCTCAACTTATCATAACCATCACAATTTCCTTAGATGTGATTGGTGCATTAGCTGCTTTATTTTTTACTAATGAATCTGAACAGTTGAAATCGGACACCCGTAATCAGACAGTTGAAGCGACCAACCATACTTGGTCCTTTCAACCAAATTCACCAATCACAGAATTAATCACAAAAAAACAACCACTTATCCTAAGAAAAAAAACTGTGGAATATCCAAAGTTGAGGAATTTTTTACTTAGACATTGTCTCTATTGCAATCATTTGTCATAAATGTATTTATTTTTTTCGGAAATTGTAACGGTTATGATAAATTGGTAACAGACCTTTGTGTCGTCCAAAAGCTCGTGATTGACAAATCGGACTCCCGCTTCACGGTCGTTCGAGTTCATTAATCACTCGTATGATTACAAACCGAATTGGACTCCACTCGGTCCTAATACTAATAATATTAATCAGATGCCAAACTAAAACCAATCACGACTTGGTCGCCCGGGTTTTCTCGCGCTTTAAGCATTTTGGTTGGTTTTTTACTTTATCTTCCTATCTCCTGATTGGCTGTTGAGATAACTTTGGTTTCGGTTATGACACTCCATCGAAAAGCGCTCTATGAGAACAGATTATACATCAATACAATAATATCCAGATAATTTGATCTCCTCGTGTTTTCCGCATCTAAACTGGCGTTTGAGCAGGGTTCTAGATAAAAGAAAAGGCAATTATAAAAGAATCACCGGTTTATCACTGCCTGTTCCTTCCAAAGACTCTCTCATAATTCTCTTAGCAGCAGTGTCTTTGTTCATGCTTCTCCTTCTTATAGATTCCAACTCACGCTCGTTCTTCTTTTTTTCGCGTTCTGTTTAAACAAATAAATTCACAAGTGCTGTTCGATAACTTTAATACTTATGTCAGGGCAGCTGATTCGGGACTTACAAAACTGTTATCAATTGGAACTACGGTAGAAACCCGGGGTTCTACAGCACAATAAAATAAAAATGAAACTTTAATTATACCTACACCTGGACATGTACCACGTACTGTACAATCATTTGATTTTGAGCTGTATATGTTTGGTATACAGTGGCTAATATTGCTTGTATGCTAGGTAGCATCAAATGTTCGATATTAAAAATATTTCTTCTCGTCATTGCACTAAGGATAGATGTTCCAAATAAACGGTTGGTCAATGCATGATTAATACCCTTTTGACCCCAAAGAGTGACTAGCATCTAATTCCACCTCATGATATCATCCCTGAATCCCACATTAAGGTCATGAGAATTAAGGAAATGATCACCGACTAAAGAAGCTCTTAATTGTTAACTGTTTAACAAACTCTCCTTGTCAGCACCTTAGGAAATGTGTAGTAAAAAATATGGAGAAAATGCATACTGATATCAGGGCGTAGACGGCACGTAATAGCGTGTTATCCGAGTTTTACGATTCTATTTATAAGCACTGATGAGTCATGGAACGTGGATTTATAAACAGTGTCCTACCAGTTTCTTCATCTGTACTTATACCACCTGCATAAACCTCCCTGCAAAAAGCAAACAGACGTTCATCAACTGTAACTAGGATCAAAAGCCTTATCAATACCAGCTGCTTTCTCCGCCTTCACCCTTTGTTTTTACCCACTCTCACAATTGTACGTTAGATCTCAGTACAATGTTTAAACTGATAAATGTCCATGTATGTGTACCTACTAAAAAATGAAACTCCTAGTGGAGACTTTCATTTGGTTCACTTACATGCTAGTTTAAAAATCAATAACAACTAAGCATGCAAACCTCTGTCTCCTAATCAACAATATAACAATTCGTCTTACCCTGTCTTCACTTTTTCTTTGAAAGACTCAATGAGAAACTTCCAGCGATACCCGTGCGCCTTTGAGGTCTAAATGAAAGGAAAATCGAATACATGTACTTGTTCAGAGGATGTATACTTATGTCGAAAGTGAGGAAAGGTCATGTCAGAATTCTCCGTTTCATGCTAAAATAAAGCGTGACAGCACTTTTTTTGTGGCATCTTGATTTACTATTGGGGAAAAGTTGCTGACATAGACACACCCCCAGAGTTAAGTAGTATTTTTTCCAAGCCCCGTACGTGCAAGGAAAAATTATGAGGTTTAACTATTCATTAGGTGTAGATGTTTAATCATCTTATTCTCCCAGTTAGAACCTGCTCTGATTAGTAATGGCATCCACAAGAAAGAATTTAATAAAAATTGATTAAAGACAAGTATAAATAGTCCCAGTTAGAGGTGCAACTTCCTCTTTTGGGCTTTAAGATTAAATTTCTGCATCCACAAGAAAGAATTCAATAAAAATTGATAAAAGACAAGTATAAATAGTCCAAAATGTTAGTTATTTGAAGACTCCTAAATAGGAAGTGCATACTATTTAAGGTACCATTTATGTCTATCAAGATATTCTGAATTACTGTGAATATAAATTAAGGAATTCTATAGGAAAAAGTTTTAAGAATACAATATTTCAAGCTGCAGAAAATTCAAATCCAAAACATTTTAGACAGTTTTCTAGGGCACAACATCCAAATCTAATTTAATTAAATTTGCTTTAATTCTCTACTTGACACATCACATGTGGCTACATGAAGCTTAATACTAACCTGAATTCCAACCAGGACTAGTTTTTGTAGGGCCACATTTAACTGCCTTTGCTTGCTGTAAATTCAAGCAAAGACATAACCAGTTAGATTTAAATCCCAATCTTAACCCTTTAAATTTAATTCTCACTTTATATGCATCCTTCTCTTGATAACCTAATGATTATTTCCTAAAACTGCATGGTTTAGTTTAAGCATTCTGACCTGCCATGCCAACCTGTTTGGTATTAGGGAACACAACCTAAAATTAGTATTCTGCATTTTGTATTATTGCAGCTGATATCCATGGCCATTAATCCTCCACCCTCACAAAACGATTTCTGTCTCAAAATCACACCCCAAAGGAAATATCCCACTTTTATGTGCTAGTCTCTTGATCCTTAAAAAACTTCGGCTTTCTCCCTAATATGATTAAAAGTGACTTTCCTGTTGCATTTCTTACATAAATGTTCTTGAAACACAAGGCATGATATTTCAGTTGACTACTGCTGTATCAATGTTCTGCATCACAGAGAGGATCTTCAAAGTTCTCAGTAAGAGTTTTATTCAGAGTGAATTAATAAATTCACATGGCACATGATTTGAGCACCATTAACCCACACCAATTGACTGGGAACAAGTCTAACAGACTAAGATAACAGCTGTGACTGTTTTTAGTATCATGTTCAGCATGAAGTTAACCCTTTAACTCCCAAGATCTCATTAGTAATTCTCCTTACCATCTGCCAAATGATTCTCATCAAGTTAGTTTGGAGAATTTGCTATCCGATCATTTAGTAACGTGATAATTGATATTTTTCTTTGTTTTCATCAGGGAGAAATTCTCTTTTGGTCACTTATGGGAGTTAAAGGGTTAAGAGACATTGCACAGCCTTACACAATTTAACTGCTCAACAAATGATTGTGTTTGTCATGACTAAAGTACTAACTTTTCATAATCCTCATGCAATTTCTTTAATGCAGCACTCTTGGTTTCCCATGGTGTAGAGTATAACTTGACCATCCTCACCAACTCAGTGATTGGCACACTGAGATCTGATGAGCTAACAAAATAATTTTGAGCATTAGCCTCAATTCCTCTCTTTCTTTCAAGTGTCAAAAATAAATTATCAACTTTGCTTTAACCTCTTCCATCCTAGCATCAGCATGTATATTCTCCATACTGTTCTTTGTACATTTCCTATGGTATTTACGGGAGAATTTATTTAAAAATCAAGAGCTTTTCAAGTTTGTTAAAACTTTTTTTTAAAATACTCATGAGCCTAATGTTCAATTCAGCATGATTCCTTTATGATAAATTACATTGTAGTCACCCTCAGGGGTCAAAGGGTTTAAAAGTGACCTTTAATTGACCTTCATGAAACCAAAAAAAAAGTTAAATAGTGTAAGAGGGGTGGTAAGTTTTGGGCTGGGTAAAGAAATAGAGAAAGATGTTTTCAGTCTTTTCCATGGGACAAAGAAAAAATATTCTGAGTCCCCATGAGGAATCGACCTCAGACCTTTCTGCATTCTGCACTCTGGTGCTCTGCCATTGAGCCACAGAGACTCTGTGGTGAGTGACGCCCATTTAGAAGTTCATATGAAAGTTAAATGATCACAACAGCCAATCACAACAAAGTAAAAATGAGAATGGAACTAAAAACAAGCTACTGCCTGACACTGCATGTACCATGGGAAAATAAGAGTGACCATGATTGATGTATCTGGTTTAAGGTTTGTATCTGATTGGTTGAGAGAATCGCAAGAGTTTCCAAGAAAAATAAAAAATAATATCAATGTATTTAACAAAAAAAAAGCCAAAAAAGGTGAAGTTGAACAAGAAAATAGATCCTTATCAATTTGCATAAAATCATAAACTACCAGGTCAGTCAAATAAGTTGATCAAGCTCATAAAATGCTGTCTAATATGTTTGGAAAATTATCATAATTTAACATCTCTGGGAACAAGATTGTTAGTTTTTCACTTTTCTGTAATCAAATTTCATATCATTATTATGTACAAGAAAACTGAATAAATAAAGAGTAACTTCCTTTAACCAGCTTGTATCAGTTCTATTTATAAGTTTAAAATACTGGTATTAAACTGCAAATTAGTTACATATACACTATACCTTCTGAACAATTTTCCAGTGACCAGCGCAACCTTTAAGAGTAAACTGGGTGGCAATGCATGCTGAAAATCAAACAAAAAAAAACCTTGAGAACTTTTAAGAGGAGTTCGCACTGTGTTAGTGCTATAGGTAAAAATGAACTATGGGATATTTAGTAATTTAATGAACAGATAGACCACATTGCCTTGCTTCTGTTCACTGGTACAGTGTAGATCAAAAATTTTTAGTGTTGATGTCAACTATATCCATCTGTCCTCCAATAGATCATGCATGTACATAAGAACCAACATCAACAGGTTGTTTATTTAAACAAAGCAGAGGTGGCTAGTGGTATATCCTCTTTTAGCTACTAACTTTTTAGGTAAATAGTTGTTCTTTAATTTGCATTAATAACAAGTTAAAATGGTAAAATAATGTACAGTGTGCATGTAGCACAAAAAGATGAAATTTTCACTCATTCATTCCTTCAGCAATCATAATGTTTTTGGGCACAAATACAGTTTGAGTTGCTCAGAGGGGAAATTAACGAAGGATATTTGGAGTTTGAGTAGCCACAATCAGAGTGTGCACTTTCAACGCTATTCACTGTGTAAGTATGTGCAATTCAGTTTATTATTGCATAATATCTAATGGATGTCTAGTCTTTTATCTTCATTACCTTTAAAAGCTCATCTTTTATTGCAAGTAACTGATAAAGAGAAACAAGAAAAGAGCATCATCAGAAGTCAACCAAAACATAGATCATAGCTGAATTATGAATTCTACATGACTTGTATTTATAATTTTACTGACTAAACATAAGTTCTAAATAAGTTCAACTTTTTCAAAGTTACCACTTGGCAACCTAAAATCATAAAATGGTTGCCAGAATTAAAATTTTCAAGTTGACTTTTTGAAGAAAAAAAAAAAAAAAGGTTGGAAAAGAACGTAAATTTGTGCAATATCATATGTTCTATACAAACATTATCCAAATTCCACTTAAGACCATAAACAATTAATCATTAATGAAGGCAAAAGAGCTTAATTGTTGCATATTACTGCCACACTGCTATTCCTGATGACATGTATCCATATTTACCAATTTTTATTTAAAATTACTGACCTCTGAAAGGGAAGTCTGAAATAATGCCAGGCAGTTTTGCACTCCTTCACAAAGAGCTTTGAATTTCTGTTGTTCTTCATGTGGTGTTGATGTTCTCTGTTAGATACATATAAGAAAATTCAGTGATACAATATCTTAAGTTTTTAAATATACTGTACATGTAAATGAGCCTTGTAGATCTCAACAACAATTTGAACTGATCCTGATTTCCTTTACAAAAAAATTAATTGTTGTGATATTTTACCAATCCCTTAACTCCTAATTACTGAAACAAGGAACGACCTCAAATGAACTAAAATGAACTAAAATGAACTAAAATGAACTAAAATGAACTAAAATGAACTAAAATGGACTAAAATGAACTAAAATGAACTAAAATGAACTAGCCATGATCTAATCTGTGATCAGATCACAGATCGAATCACAGATTGGATCATGGCTCTGATCACGAACCAGATCACAGATTAAGATCTTGATAAATTGAAATTACAGAAATTTTGCCTGGGAAGTGAGAGGTACATATCATTTCATCAGTCAGTTAAGAATAATGTGACAAGTTGCTTTTTAAGATCCTTGAACTTCTTCCATTGCCGGCGTGTGAGGCACATGATGGAAGCTATAATTCGCAAACTGATCGACCTAAGTGCTCCACATTGCAAGGTCGAAGTCTCAGGCACTATTTGAGATGTCCAACTTCCTACAGATCCCTACAATATTTAACCAACAAAAAGTTATTCTCAATTAAGCACCTCCTATAAATTCAGAGATATGTTTATTAAACCAAATGTCAACATACATTGAAGACACTTAAGATTACACCAAATTTTAAAACCCTCACCTCACTTTCGACCATATCTAAATTAGAATCTGCTCTTTGAATTGAAGACTCTGCAAATTCAGGAACTGGTTCCAGAGATGTGCTTGACTTCTTCAGTATACCTGTATCAAAAGTTTGCTATAAGGTGATCAATTGTCCCTTAAATAAAAGATCCATAAGTATAAACCAAAAAACTGAATAGTGCTTTTTGCATGTGCTGATTGGCTAGCAAGCATTATTCACCTACAAGCAGCCAATGAGACAAAATCACATGCCAATGTACAACCATTTCTTGGTATATTGAAATAAACAGAAGTTTTTGGTATTTATGTGATATATACTAAAACAATAATTCACCAATATTTACTTTCCTGGCACAGTAATTCAGTATTATCAACTCATTTGATAATACCAAATTACCCTGTTATACTCTCCCATCGACGCAGCACCATTCACTTTAGTAAACAATTTTTAATTATATATCCAGATTAATCTTTATCTTTAAACCTTCACCCGGTTTTCTTTTTGGAGGGAGCATCACATTAATTTTTAACGCCACTTGAATGTACCACTTCAATAATCTCATGCTCTTCCAGTTTTGGAAAAGGTTCAAACGAAAAAATTCTTGACTCTAATGATGACTTCCGCACAAGTTGTCGAAACGTTAGCCTCGTTCACCAAATTAAAACCAGTCATTTGCAGTATTAATTCTCAATTTGAAGATCCTTCGTACGCTATCGAAAAAGAACAATGCTTTTGCTTGATTTATTGCAGTAGATTTTTAAACTTTATACAGCTACAATGAAAATATAAAGACTCCCATACTCGTTTTACAAGAAAACACTTTCTTCTAAGACTAAAAATTTTAATAACGAACTAGTGTTAACGTTTCCTTAGCAGCTGCTGTTGATCCCCCTAATTCTTTTAAATTTGAGGCGGTTGAATAAAAAGGGCAGAGTGCATGAGTATAAGCTCGTTAAGATGACACGAAAAGCACAATATGAGGTCGTACAGACACAACATATCAGAATCACCGGGTATATAATAAAAATGATAAATCATTTATCGGAATGAAGATAGGAAAATTGGCCTCTACCATAAAATAGTAATGAAGAAGGTTCCCACCTGCTCGTTTCGGGAGAGTTTCTTGTTTCGCTGCCGCTGCTGGAGGTTTAGATTTTTCCACCATGTCGAGGAAATGAGATTCAACGGGAACAATTTCCCTTTTTTTAAGAGTTTCTGTTACATGCAAGGGTAATCAACACTCCTCATCAAAACAACCAAAATATGCAAGAGTCGTCTGCCATCATTTGATTGTGAGGTAGCTGTTGTCATGGTAGCAGAACTTGTTTATTCAAGGTGCAGCCGCTGACATTAGTGTAGGTCTGCAAAGCGTGAAAATTTCTGGGCGAGAAATTGAAGACGTCAATGTTAAGCATGTTAAGCATGTTAAGCAAGAGCTTATCAAAACTACAGCAAAGATGTCAAAGAAGAGACACGAATGGTATGCATTCTCATACGAACGATTTTTTTCTCTTCCTTTATCCTCTCGTGACTTCACTTAAGCTCTCTAATATGATTAAGGATGAACTGCCTTTTTATTCGAGTTTATCATTTTCAAGACACACCAAAAAAAAAAAAAAGAAGATTTAAGGAAGAGGCCACAAATGAACACGTATTATATTTGAACAATGGCTGCATATCTCTCAAATTCCCACACGTTGTTACAGCTGTGTGGCACAGATTTTCTTGGAAAAAAATTATGAAATCTCTCCTCCATAGATTTCCCAAATCTATTGGGTAAACGTTAAGTTTCATTAAGGAAGACTTTGCATGCCAGGGCCGAGAAGGGAAATAATTCCGGATTCATGTGCAGAGAGGTTTTTACTCGACTAGTGGTCAACAATTTAGAGCATCAACACGACACAACAAGACGAAAGGCTCAACATGTTCACAATGTATTTACATAGGAATATGATCCTCTTTTTTATGAACAAAAAAGAAAGTAGAACAGTAAAAAACACAACAATTTAATTAAAAATTTGAAATGATATTCAGAGGTCACGCAATGATCACCAACGGCAAAACATTTTCCTCACAGGCTATTTATATAATTTGCATTTGATAATGACTAGCGATACTGACACGGAAACGTTGAGTAATAGGCCATTGCTGAGATTCAGAAAAGCCTTTGTTTTAAATTGAGGCCAACTGCGAAGCCTCTGACGAGGAAATTACTTTTCTTTCGCTAATTTTCGTTTTAACATGAATCGAATTTAAATCAATAAACGGTTTACTCTTGTCTATTCGGCAAAGTGTTTACCAACTCTTACACATTTTTATAGTGGGCTCTGATAAAGGCAATTTTTAGACGTCACAGAAAACAACTTGAAAATATTTAGATAAACAGCTAATTCTACCATGAGGTAAATAATAAACGTCTGTTGGCACCTCAGTTACCAATGCGTTATCGCTCGTGAGTTGATTACTGCACCACATCGAAACCTTCTTTAGGGTATCCATTATGATCGCGGGTGGGATGAATACTGGGCGAATGAGACTTCGGCTTCAACTTCACCTTTGTGGGAGAGTCTTTGGAAGGATCAAGATTCCTGGTACTCATTTTGAACTCTAAACCATTATCATTCGTTTCCATTTCCGAGCGCGTGTCTCCTTGGATGGGACGAAAAAGCGGCATTGTGCAAACGGTTCACGTAGTTATCGCTTGGGAATCTCTCTCTTATCTTGACAGCTTGAAACGAGCTCAACTTGGTGTCTGCTCCTCCGACGATCTCCTTTTCTTCCTTCTCTGAACACTGAATACAATAGGCTGTACAACCGTTCTATTTAAATATCGAACTCTGAACTAAAATCGTGTCAATGATCTCTGTCACGAGATTGCCACAATTCCAAATACGGAATTTTCAGTTTCAAGCAGGAAGTTTATACCATTATTTTATTTAAATAAATAGGATAAGTTTCTAAAGAAACTGTGCGCTTCGTCGGTGGGAGAGTATCACGGGGTAATTTAGTGTTATTAATTGAGTTGGTAGCTTAAATTGGTCACCATAAAGAGTTGAAAGGTTGACATTTCGAGCGTTAGCCCTTCGTCAGAGCGATTATTTCATATAATCCAGGAGATGAATTTCATTTTCTGTGTCATACATTATTTATTGTTGAAATCAGTGAGCATTCATGGATTTTTTTCACTATCTTTAATATCATTTCAGCGGTAATTTCTCTCTTTAAAAGGATGCGACGTTTCTGTCTCTAGATTTTGACATATCAGCTCTGAGTAAGGTGTTCCGTGTTTTTATAAAAACATGTGTTGTAAATTCTCAGTTCATTAAATCGTTCACCGTCCTGCTAGACAGTTTGATGGGCTGCTTTCGTACCAGAACAAATTTTTTTAAAATATAAGAATTCAAACTTTTCAATTCTCAAAGGCCATATCTATTCTTAGTCGGGTTTCATCTCCAGTAAGAACATTTCACATTCTCTTGCACGCTGTAGCCAATAAATAGGCTGTGCATGTACGTCAAGAAATCGCTTCCTTTGTGTTATATGTCGCTATTCTCAGATTCCATTTCTTTTTGTGGCAATGTGAGACTCTACAATTTACGCTTTTCTCTTCCTAAAATATCCCGTTGCGAGCGTGATAGCTCTGAATTTTATGATGCAATGTTTGATGATAGAAGCGAGCTGATCGCCACTGTTAAAACATTTGAACACTATCAACTTTTCTGTTAGAGCGAGGACGGGGAATACAAGATAGCTGCAGAGGGTAATTACCCTCTGCAGCTACCTAAATCTAATTTTTTTCTGTTAAAGCTAGCAGAGGGTAATTACCCTCTGCTAGCTTTAACAGAAAAAAATTGATGGTGACCGGTAATACGGTTATGGAAAGGCACAATGATCTCTAGAGCCTTCTCGGTCTTGTTCAATCTCTGTTCGCTCATACAGTTTTACTTATGACAGATTCACCTTTCTCACTTCTCTTGCCTTCGACAACTCTGACTCTCTCCGACTCTTTCCACGGCACTGGTCTTTATTTGTCCCATAGGGGGAAGATTTTGGTTTTTTTTTACGATTAAATAAACCTGATCCTTCCATAAGAATCTAAAATTCTCATGATCCCCCTCATTTCCAGTGAATTGGCGGTCAATTTTTCAACAGTCCCCCTTTGCTCTCTGTTGGTGACGACTAACCCCCCATCCGCTTCCCCACATCCCCCCAAATCCTTCACCCTTCTCACAGGAGATAAATAATGCGGTCCTCTAGCCTCGACGGACTCTTACTTCCTCTCGTTTTCTCTGATTCCCTAAGATTCTCAAACTCTGATTGACTCTGATGAACTGGCTACGAGTGGTCTCGTACCCAGACCATCCGTGGCCAAGCGGTGGCAAGGAGCCTTCATTTCAGTTCCGGTTACACGGCAGGATCTAGGTACGAGATTGGGTTACGAGCTCTACAGGCCTTTATAAAGGTAAGATGGGGCATACTTGATGCTTTCGACCAAACGATCGATTTTAGAATGCGAAAACCAAAACAAGAGCTTTAGTGTGGGTCTAAGGCAGGGTCGGTAGGCAAACTAAGCACGTCCATTAGTGGAAGGAAACAAGACTGTCCAAATTTAGGGATCTCATCGTGATAACTAAAATCTAAATAACTCAAATATTAACCAGGAGCCCATTGCTTTTAGTAATGGGCTCCTGTATTAACCAAATAGGCAGTATCAACAAAGGACTAAACCATACCTTACTAACAAAATAATTGAACTGCCTGCAGATCAGCAGTACTTAATTATTGTCAATTGCTTGGGTGTACCAAAGATCTCTCACCATTGAGGTAAATTCCTCCTACTGACGAAATGTGTTAATCGCGGGAAACTTGTTGGTTGAACTTTGGAAAAGTCATCCGGCACAACTAAGCAAACGGGGACAGTTCTTCTACCTCAAAAACGAATAATCACTTCAATGCATCAAGATCTCTTATCCCATAGTCGGCGCTCAGTTTCTTGTAGTTGATTTCGTGAAAAGCTTTTATCTCTTGAAACTCTGATTCGCTTAAATCATGTCATCGTCAAAGCATAAGGTTATTTTTACTTCTTTAGTTTCATCTGTAATGGAATCTCGAGGGTAGAAGCCTCTCCGAAATGACAACCAAAATTTGTTAAAGTCCTCATAGATGGAGTAAACACAGTCCAAAAAATTCTCACTGAATATTCCTCGTCGAGGAAAGTTTTTTTTTTTTAAAGATAGTGGTAAAACGTTTTTTATTCATATTAGTTCATAGGACTTGAGATACGGCCTATATCTGCCATTATTAATGATGTATACCTATTGAAACTGTGTATGCTCAATGTATTGAGCACACGCAGTACATGAAAATTAAATTTTCTTGGTTGAAACACTTATCCTAATTAGTGAATGTTTGTAAGAGTTCTATAAATAAACGGTACTTATTCAGGTGCAAATATGATCTTGCTAATGGGAAACTTTCGGAAAGGAAGATCTTCATGCTGACCTTACTGAATAGGAACCAGTTGCTGAGAACTCCTACAAACTTTTCATACGCAATAGTTTTCATTAATTTTCAGCCGCCGAGATCGGTTTTTACGCTGTGGCCGTGAATTTGTGTTGTCTTTTTTAAAAATCGGTGAATATTTAATTGTTATTCCACGAGCGTACGTTATATATGAGATGGAAAATAGCCAACAAGGCGCGTAGAAAATGGCGCTGCTTATTAAATCTCGGTGGGATGAAGATCTTACAGCACTATGGCAAAGCTCGGTTTTATAAAATACCGGCGAAAATACAACGAACTTCTTCAGTTCGTATTAGCTGTATTTGCTATGGCAAAGTTTCAAGAGAGTTAGCGATTGCAGTAGACGTTAACTTGATTTCCCAGGTAACAGCTTACAAATGTCAATGCCAGCCGTTCACCTTGAGTTTTTGACCTTCTTGCTTTGGTCTTTAATTCGACACCATTTCAATTGTTCTTTTAAAATTTGGAGCGAATATTTGCATGTCGCTAGATAAAGAAATAAACAATAGCCTCTATTTAGCACGGAAATATGCACGGATATTTGTCCGCGGACATTAATAGTCTGCTCTATGATACGAACAGTTTTCCGAGAGCGAGGCTCAAGGAAACCTGTGAGCTATGAGGAACAGATAATTTCCGAAGACAAATATAAGATAATATTTTCGTGAAAATTAGGAGCTATTATGTTTATCATCCCTCAAATAGTTGCAAAGCGCTTGAATAAATGTTTACGAACAGCTTACTGTTTGCTGCGCGGG